CAACCAGCACTTGGTTCCCACCCATCAATCAAATGTGGAAGTGGTGTCAGGCAGGGGCAATGTCTGTTCTGCAGAATCAACAGTTTGTTTTGTTAAATTTATATGTTGCCCATCTCACCCAGTAACTCTGGGCAGCTCACAGTAATGTAAAAGCATCGATGTAAAAAGCATTAAAAACATTAAAATTAAGCTTAACAACAGTGAGGTAAAGGTAAATTTGGAGAAAATCTCTTGAGAAGGAGCAAAGGAAGGCTGTGTCTCATTTCTAGTAACTGCTTAAAATACAGGTAGTCCTTGATTTCCGACCGCAATTGAGTCCTTCTGTTGCTAAGTGAGACATTTATTGAGCTTTGTCCCATGTTGCGACCTTTCTTGCCACCGTTGTTAAGGGCATCACTGCAATTGTTAAGTTAGTAACACGGTTGTTAAGTGAATCTGGCTCCCCCGTTGAATTTGCTTGTGAGAAGGTCACAAAAAGTCATCACCTGACCCTGGGACACTTCAACCGTCATAAATAGGGTCAGTTGCCATAAATATGAGTCAATCCAGCGTCTGGATTTTGCTCACGTGACTACAGGGGAGGCTGCAACTGTTGTGTGAAAAACGGTCGTAAGTCACTTTGTTTCAGCGCCGTTGTAACTTGTCACTAAATAACTTGTAAGTCAAGGACTACCTGTAATAGATTCTTCAGAGCAGTTAGCTCTCGATGATTGGGGAAAAACAGATTTTGTGGATAGAGATCAGGCCTCTGTGCTAAATTCAAAACATTGGACTCAAATGGTTGCCTGGCTGTGATTTTGATGCCATGGCTGGCTGAGTTTCTAGTCCCTAACGTTCAAAAAAGCCATCAGAAATATCAAGTTTTCCTTTTACTTCAAGCCAAGGATAATCAGTCATGGCTGTTTTAGTTTGGATTTTTCCACTGATCAGCCCGTTGGCTTTGGCTCCTTCCTCTCCTCCAGCTATTTTGAGTTGGGGAAGGTTTAAGTCAAGAATGTAATAGAATAACAGAGTTGGAAGGGACCTTGGAGGTCTTCTAGTCCAACCCCCTGCCCAGGTAGGAAACCCTACATCACTTCAGATAAATGGTTATCCAACATCTTCTTAAAAACTTCCAGTGTTGGAGCATTTACAATTTCTGGAGGCAAGTTGTTCCACTGATGAATTGTTCTCACTGTCAGGAAATTTCTCCTTAGTTCTAAGTTGCTTCTCTCCTTGATTAATGTTGAGGGTAAAACTGCCCTCTGCAAAACGGTACAACGGACCAGACAGCGAATAGGTACGTTGCTTAGCAAAAATACACAGATACTCACAGACTCTGAACGTTGATAGAAAAATAAACAGTCTTTACTTGTAGTAAAAATACCAAACTTGGCTTCTCAAAACAAAGATAACACTTCTTCAAATAATCACGGTTCAACACAAAATATAGTTTGCTTACAATTCCAGTTCTCTTCAGTAACACAGACACAGTTCCTTTCAGCAGTTCAACCTTCTAATAGCAGGAGCAGAAGTGAATGAACTTCCTGCCTTCTTTTATGTCTGCTTAGCACAGCCAATTAGTCATCTTGTAGCAGTTAAAGGTACGGAACATAGTTTTCTATATATTATCTACTCAACCGTAGGATAAGCATCCAACAATTAGTTTCCACCCATTGCTCCTTGTTCTGCCCTCAGGTGCTTTGGAGAATAGCTTGACTCCCTCTTCTTTGGGGCAGCCCCTGAGATATCGGAAGATGCTATCATGTCTCCCCTAGTCCTTCTCTTCATCAAACTAGACATACCCAGTTCCTGCAACTGTTCTTCATATGTTTTAGCCTCCAGTCCCCTAATCATCTTTGTTCCTTTCTCTACACTCTTTCTGGAATCACATTTTTTTATAGATATTGTGGCAACCAAACTGGATGCAGGATTCCAAGTGTGGTCTTGCCAAAGCATTATAAAGTGGTACTAACACTTCACGTGATCTTGATTCTATCCCTCTGTTTATTGCATTGGCTTTTTTGGCTGCTGTCACACACTGCTGGCTCATCTTTAACTTTAACACCCATTGCTCCTTGTCCTGCCCTCAGGGGCTTTGGAGAATAGCTTGACTCCCTCTTCTTCCGGGCAGCCCCTGAGATATTGGAAGACTGCTATCATGTCTCCCCTGGTCCTTCTTTTCATTAAACTAGACATACCCAGTTCCTGCAACCGTTTTAGCCTCCAGTCATCCCCTAATCCTCTTTGTGGCTCTTCTCTGCACTCTTTCCAGAGTCTCCACCTCTTTTTTACATCGTGGCGACCAAAACAGGATGGAACTATTCCAAGGGTGGCCTTATAAAGCGGTATCATCACTTCACGTGATCTTGATTCTAGCCCTCTGTTTACGCAGCCTAGAACTGTGTTGGCTTTTTTGGCAGCTGCTGCACACAGCTGGCTCATACGCAAAGTCAATCCAAAGTAAGGAAAGACTACCCCAATTTCTTATTTCAGAGCCTGCCTTTGCCAGGATAATAAAACTTGAAGCCAACCATCTCCTCAGAAAAGATCAAAAGGGCGTCGGTGACCTAAAATTTTCTGCTCTCTTTGTTTACAAAAACCCAGGAAGGAAACTGGACATCTGTAAAAGTATCTTTCTTGGACGTAGCCTAGAGCCCTTCCTTGGCTTTGGTGAGTCAACGTTTCCAAGAAACCCGTTTGCCTGTTTCTGAGAAACCATTCCTGGGCCTAGTTAACATGGGACAAAGACATCTGAAGGCTGGGTTGATTGAAAACTTGGCAACCACTCTCCCTTGGCTCATTAGTTCCCTTGGCTGGGAACTCATCAAGGAGAGAAGCAACCTGGAATTAAGGAGAAATTTCCTGACAGTGAGGACAATTAACCAGTGGAACAGCTTGCCACCAGAAGCTGTGAATGCTCTAACACTGGAGGTTTTTAAGAAGAGATTGGATAACCATTTGTCTGAAGTGGTATAGGGCAACCTTTTTGCCGTCGCGTGCCAAAAGCGGGGGGGGAGTAGCACACGTGCCCAAACCCATCATTCAATGCCCCCCCTTGTGCTCCGCCCACTTTTGTCATGGTGGGCCAGGTAGGCCCGTTTGTCGCCCTCCCCAGGCTCCAGAGGCTTTCTAGGAGCCTGGGGAAGGCGAATAACGGACCTACCTTCCCCGCCTGCCCCCGGAGGCCCTCCAGAGGCTGGAAACAGCCTGTTTCCTGTCTTTCGGTGGGCCCGGAAGGCCTGAAAATTGGCTGGCGTGCACTTGCACACTGGAGTTGAGCTAGGGTAACATGTGCCCACAGATAAAGCTCCATGTGCCACCTGTGGCATGCATGCCATAGGTTCGCCATCACGGGTATAGGGTAAGGGTGTCAAACTCAAGGCGGGGTGCTTAGATCACACCCACAGGACCAGCCTGGAAACAGCCAAGGACCAGCCCGCGGTGCCTCTGCCAGTGAAAACAGAGCTAGGGAGGGCCTGTTTTCGACTGTGACGGCCTCCTGCAGCCCTCTGCCAGCAAAAAGGGAGCTCAAGAGGGTTGCGTGCCCCCCCCCCCGAGCTCTGTTTTCGCTGGCAGAGGGCTGCCGGAGGCCATCGTGGCCGAAAACAGACGTCGAGCTGGCCATGCCCCCTAGCCACACACACACCCCAGCCCCCGAGCTCAAACACAACCCTGATGTGGCCCTCAGTGAAATCAAGTTTGACACCCCGGTATAGGGTCTTCTGCCTGAGCAGGGGGTTGGACTAGAAGATCTCTTAGTTCCAAGGTGGAAGATGTCCCAGTAGAACTTCCACACATTCTAGGGTCACCTGAGGTCATCCTTTTTCAGGGACTTTCTTAGTAGTGGCACCACTGGTGCAGTTGAGCCTGTAGATTACAACTTCGGTGGCCGTCACTTATTTGATTCTCGGGAAGAAACTGGAAATAATTTTGATAGCAGCATCTACAGGTAGTCCTCGACTTACAACAGTTCGTTTAGTGGCCAAAGTTACAAGGGCCCTGAAAAAAGGGACTTCTGACTATTTTTTCACAGTTACAACCTTCTGTAGCATCCCCATGGTCATGTGATCAAAATTCAGATGCTTGGCAACCGCTTCATACTTACAACCATTGCTCTGTCCCAAAGTCATGGGATCCCCTTTTGCGACCTTCTGACAAGCAGAGTCAATGGGAAAGCCAGACTCACTTAACAACCATGTTACTAACTTGTCAACTGCAGGGATTCACTTAACGATGGTGGCAAGAAAGGTGGTAAAATGGGGCAAAGCTCACTTAACCAATATCTCACTGAACAACAGAAATGGTGGGCTCATTTGCGGTCGTAGTTTGAGGACTACCTTGTTGTGACCTAGGCTCACTTAGTCATTACAAGACACAATTAGTCCCCAACAAAATTATTTTATTACAACAGCTGAGAATTACTTCATTCCCAGCTTATTCCAAATTAATTCCAAAACAAGTCCTTCAGAAAAAAACCCTTTGGGCTTATCACAAACCTTTATCTTCTTTAGCACCCTGCCAAAGGCCTTTCTTGGCAAAGCCCCACAAAGTTCAGAAACAAGAGATGCCGACTGGAAACAGATTTAGCAATGTTGCTTTCCTACAAAGAGCCCACATGCCTTTGCTGCTCTTTTAAGCCTTCTGGACAGAGCTAATCATCTCCTGGCCTTACTCCCGAGTCGTCCCTTTTGCTTTAGCTGCTCTTGCCTTCTGGCAGCTCTGCGCATGCGTGCACTAGGAACAGGCTCCCCCTGTTCCTCTGCCTCTCTGCTGTCCGACTCTGGAGGCTCCGGAGTCCATGCATCGCTCCCAGATGGCCCTGGCCCCATCTCTGCCTTCGACGCAGAGCCCTCGTCCGGGCCTTCCCCAGCCTCCAGGACTGGCCCATGTTCCTCCCCAGCCTCCTCACTGTCCGACTCCTCTGCCAGCTTCCGCAGGCTGCTGGTTGTCCACAACATACCTGTACAGGACTGGCTTTGTCAGGTTTCTCTCTGAACTATCTGTCTTTTATTTTCCAGGAACTGCAGCATGAAAATATTGTGGCCCTGTACGACGTCCAGGTAAGTTTGTGTTTCTGAGTCGTCCATTGCATATTTTTTTAATGAACCTGTGTCACTATACAGTGTCTCTCCTTGGCTCTCACCTGTTTTATTTCTTGCCCCGAACATCCTCTTTTTAACAGTAGTGTTTTGGTATCGGCGTTAACACCTGTGAAAATGTTTTATAAAATGTTTTATAGATGGCACTTAGATCCTAAAAAATTATCATGTATGTATTCTAATGTGCAAGTTAAATGTTGGAGATGTGACTGTGATGATGCAACTTATTATCATATATGGTGGACTTGTAGAAAAATCAAAGCATTTTGGATAAAGATTTGGTGGGTGATGCAGAATATTCTTAAAAAGAGACTGAAATTTACTCCACAGTTGTTCTTACTGGGTATAACTACGGACTGTACAGTTGCAGAGACTAAATTGATTTTGAACTTGATAACAGCAGCAAGATTGTTGGTAGCACAACACTGGAAGAAGGACTTTTTGCCTACTATTGATGATTGGATATTGAAAGTAACTAATTTAGCTGAAATGGCTAAAATTTCAGCATATCTGAAGGATCACACACAAGAAAGGTATATATAGGACTGGAGAAGATGGATTGATTATATACAAAATAAGTATCAGACCAAAAAATATCAAATAGCTTATGAATGATCTCTTTTATTTGTATAAGCGCTATATAAGTGATATTAGAAGTATTATGTTTAAGAAATAGGATTTTATATATGGGGGGTTAAGAATTTTTTTTTAGGGGGTGTTACTTTAATGATTGGTTATGCAATTTAGTTTATTGTTAAAGGTCAATAGAAATACCTTGTGTTCTGCTCTGGGAAGTCGGGGAGGGGGAGGGGGGGTTGGGAGGGGGGGTTGTGGGGAAATTGTGTTTGTTTTAAAACTTTTTCAATAAAAAAAAAAAACACCTGTGAAAATGTACATTCCACCAAAGCATAAGAAATATTTTTATTGTGAAGCGCGGGGGGGGACACCTTTTTGGTTGACAAACACACAGAGTTGTGGGAGAACCACTGCTTTGAATCTGACTAAAAGGATACAGGTTGTCCTTGGCTTACAAGAATGCATTTAGTGACCGTTCGAAGTTACAATGGCACTGGAAAAAAAAAAGTGACTTATCAGCATTGTTCACACTTACGACCGTCGCAGCATCCCTGTGGCCACGGGATCAAAATTCAAAACACTTGGGAGCTGACTCACATTTATGACCGTTGCAGTGTCCCAGCATCCTGGGATCAGCTTTTGCAAGTTAACGGTAAAGCCAGTTTCACTTAACCGTGTTACTACTGTGTTTCCCTGAAAATGCGACCTACCCCAAAAGTAAGTCCTAGCTTGATTTTCACACGTGTGCCCAATATAAGCCCTAATTAAGATCTCCGTCCACTCCAGGGTGCATGGGTAAAAATTAAGCTAGGGTAGGGATGGAGGGGTTGGAGCTACCCTACTACTTACCTTCGGACAGTTGCAGCCAGGCCTCGCACACCCCGACACCTGCCTTGCCACCCCATTTCTTCCGCAGCCGGCAAGGCTTTCCTGAAGGCCTCTGCAGCCGATAACAGAGCTCCAGATCGATCCAGAGGTTTGTTATTGACTACAGAGGCCTTCAGGAAATCCTTGCCGGCCGCAGAAGTTCCTGAAGGCTTCTGACAACAAAAAGGAGGCCGGGGGCGATGCATGCAAGTGAGGTGAATCAGTTGACAATATCTCTTTCTCCCCCCCTCCCGAAAATAAGACCTGGTGCCATTTTTGGTGGCAAAAAAATATATAAGACAGGGTCTTATTTTCGGGGGAACACTGTTAAGGATATTGTTGTGTTACCAACCAGCAGAATAAGTACACAGAGAAACGGTACTGAGAGCAATGAATACAATACATACAAACTGGTTTAACAAAGCTTTTACTTTGTAGTGAAAAACAATTGCATAGTCTTTTAATCAATCCAAGTCTTTAGCCATTCAAATCAGTCCGAAGTTACAGATATCTTCTTACTTACAAACAGCAGTAATTCACGCTGGTAACAAATCACGATGGTAGCATATCCATCCACGTCTTCACACACGACAGTAACAGTTCCAGTCAAGCAGCAAGTCAAGCAATGATGAGAGCAAGTCCAACAATGACTATAGCTCGGCTTTTTCCTTATATACAGTTTACACTAGTAATTATCCACTTAAGATAAGTGAAGTCAGCAGTGCAATGACTCAACAGTACAATTATGATAATTGCAGTCAGCAGTTAGTCAGCAGTCATTAGTCATTACAATGACTCAGCATTACATTTAAAGTTACAGAATACATTTAAAGTGATAGAACACATATACTGCCTGGACACCTTGTTAGATTTATACCATATCCTAACAAACACGGGTCATTTAACAACGACAGGGATTCACTTAACAACTGTGGCAAGAAAGGTTGTAGAATGGGGCAAAATTCACTTAACAAATGTCTCACATGGTAACAGAAATTTGGGGCTCAATTGTGATCGTAAGTCGAGGACTACCTGTGTAGGTTGGGATGCTTTCAAAATAAAGGCTGGCTGTTTCTATTGGAGAGGTCTCAAGTGAGGGATTGACTTGGCAGGTGCCTGCAGTAGGAACTCAGTTGGTATTCTTCAGTTTACGATCGGTCAATTTGTGCCATCAAGTTGATTAATATTTTTATTAATTAATTCATTCATTTTTTGTCTTAAGTTTGATATTGATACTTCCCAATCGCACACATTCTGCCCAGGATCGGTGATAAATAGACTTACGCAAATGGACATTGGTGAAATGATTGTAAATAGCTTAATGGCAAAGTGCCGAGTGTCAGCACTTCAAGCTGCATTTACTCTAGTGCTGACATAAGAAGGAGAAGCGGAGGCGTCTGGAAAGGGACGTTTGACTTTTCACCTACTTCTTTTCCCTGGAGATAATATCCCCTAGGAGATGGGATGGGAGGGAGGAAATTCCTTTGAGCTGGAGCAGTAGATTAGGGGTAGAATGACTTGGAAGATGGCCAATGAGTGCAAGGGAGTGGGGAGCGGAAAGGGAGGGTTTTGGGTCTGGAAGTCAGTGTTGGCTGCGATGGAGTCACATTTTAGAATGTCGTGCTTAATAAATAGGAGTTTTTCTTCAAAGACTTTGTTTGAAATGCAATTTATTTGAGACGACCTCGAAACCTGACACCGAGGTTTTTTAAAGGATTACCAGTAGTCCTCGATTTACAACGGTTCAGTTAGCGACCATTCAGAGTTACAATGTGACTGGAAAAAGGGACTTACGACCATTTTTCACCACCTTTGCATCCTGCCCACAGTCACATCATCCAAATATCAGACGCTTGGCAACTGACTCGTATTTATAACGGTCGCTGTGTCCCCGGGGGTCATGTGATTGTTTTGCAACCTTGAGACCGGCAAAGTCAATGGGGGAAGAAACCAGATTCACTTCAACAAACTTTTACTTACTTACTAACTTTAACCACTGCGGTGATTCACTTAACGACGGTGCCAGGAAATGGGGCAAAGCTCACTTAAAGGTCTCACTTAGCAACAGAAATTGGGCTCAGGTTGTGGTCGTAAGTCGAGGACGGCCCGTATATCCCTAAACTGTAAACTTAACGAGACCGAAGTTCCAACTGCCTGCAAATTGGCCAGTTGAGCTTTACGGCCCTTTTAAAAGGCTGGTGAAATTGAAAAATAAAAATTAAGCATTCAAGCCGTGCTTCGCTTCATGGATTTTTCTCCTCCCTTTCTCTGCCTCGCACCCTCGGCGCCTCCGCTTCTCTTCATTCAAGGTGAAAAGATTATTAGCGTAATGTGCTTGAGGACAGATAATGTGCTTCTTAAGAGGCAGCGAACGGCGTCTCCCGGTGATGCTTGGATGCCGTCGTATTTATTTATGAAATCGCAGCTTTATCCTGGGGTGAGCAAATTGCCTTCCCCTGTTTTTCTGGTGGGAGCAAATTGTGTTCGTTCTGGTTTTTTAACAGAGTTGGAAAGGGACCTTGTAGGTCATCTAGTCCAACCCCTTGCCCAAGCAGGAGATCCTACATCCGTGATGGCAAACTTATGGCACGCGTGCCACAGGTGGCACATGGATCCATATCGGTGGGCATGTGAGCTCAGCTCCAGGGCGCATGCGTGCAGTGGCCAGCTGATTTTCAGGCCTTCTGGGCCCACCAGAAGTAGGGAAACAGGCTGTTTCCTGCCTCCGGAGGGCCTGCAGGGGTGTGTGTGTGTGTGTGTGTGTGTGTGTGTGTGTGTGTAAGGCACGGTTTTTGTTCTCCCCAGGCTCCAGAGCCTCTCCAGGCAGAGTGGGGAAGGCTGTTTTCGTCCTCCCCAGGCTCCAGAGCCTCTCTAGGAGGCAAAAAGCAGGTGCTTTGGAAAACAGGTTGACCCCCTCCTCTGTGTGGGAGTCAAGCTATTTTCCAAGGCCAGACAAGGAATAATGGGTGGAAACTGATCAGGGAGAGATTCAACCTAGAAATAAGATCTTTTTTTTTAGACAAGTTTTATTGAAAAATTGTTCTTTTCTTCTTTTTTTTTTATAAAATTTGTAATTTTATTATAACACATACATGACATTTACACAACATACAACATATAGATATCTTATCATTTTTAAGCATTGTTCCATCGTGGTCTTTCATCTGTTACTTTGTTTTTCTTCCCCTATGTCTTCATTTCTTACTACTACTTCTTTTTCCCCCCATTATCCTTTTTTTTCCCTCCCCCCTCTATAGGGGATCTATATATTTTAATTATATCTTTAATATTATACATTTCTACATTCATGTTTTATACATTTTTATTTCACTCCATACATTTGTTATATATATATATATATTGTTCTTCTAATCTTCTCTCCTTATAGTAGTTATTCTTTATTTCTAGTCTTAAGCCAATTATACCATTTATTCCATATTCTATAATAGTCTGTCTCTTCTTTTTCCTTAATTTCTTTAGTTAATCTGTCCATCTCAGCGCATTCTAAAATCTTATCT